CTGCCGCCACCCCACGCAAGGCCCCCTTATTCTCTGGCCCGACCACTGCCACACCACGGGAGAAGGAGTTCCTCCTACAAGCACTGCATTCGTTCCTCCACCGCCACACCACGCAGGACCGGTCGTCCGCCGAGCTGCGCACGTCTCCGCGCCTCTCGCCGAGATCGCAGGGCGGCGAGCGGCGCGGCAACGGCTCGAGCGGCGCAGCGGCGCTTGACGGCGCGAGGGCGGCGGCGGGCGGCGAGGGGGGCGGAGGCGCGTCCAACGGCGGCGTGGAGCGCTCGTCCAACGTGCTGATCGCGGGCGGCGGCAAGGGCAAGGCGGCGAGGAGGAGGGCCGAGGTGCGCCGCTCGCCGTACATCTCGCTCAAGTCTCGGGTCGGCGCGACGTACCAGTCGGAGCTGCCGCCGTACCTTCCCCCGGGCGGCAGCGAGGGGCGCGACGCCGCCGCGGGGGAGGCTCTGCAGCCTAGAGGCCGAACCCATGCTCTTGTCTCTCAACTGTGCGCTCGAGAGGGCTCGCACTCCGCTGCTGTCGACCGTCTTCCGCGGTGCTTCCCTGTGTGCGTGGCCGTCCTAGTCACACAGCGCTCTGAAGACTCTGCGCACACGACCGCACACGACCGCCCTCCCCCCGCCCTGACGTCGGCGTCTCGAGCGGTGTAGGACCTGCTGCTCTTCGACCCCGCCCGCTCGGCGCCGCACGCGCTCAAGGTCTACCTGCGCAAGGCGGCCGAGGCGCCGCATTGCGACGGGGGACGGCGCCCGAGATTGGCCGAGATTGCCCGAGATTGCCCGAGATTGGCCGAGAGTAGGCGTGGCCCGCGACGAGGGACGCGATCGAGCGGCGGGCGGCGCCGCCGGGCGGGCAGCCGCGCAGCGCCGGCGAGGGGGGGAGCATGGAGGCGGCGGCGGAGGAGGAGGCGCTGCGGCTGCTGCACGCGCACGAGTACGACGGCAGCCTCGCCCTCGAGGCGGTCGCGGCGGCGGCGCCGCCGCCGTCGCGCGCGCCGTGGACCGCGGCGCAGGTGCTCTCCTTCGACTCGGGCCTGCTCTCCCACGGCAAGAACTTCTCGCTGATCGCGCAGTCCGTCGGCCGGCCGATGTCCGACATCGTGCGCCGCTACTACGAGCGAAAGTGCCGCACCGAGGTCCGGCGAGGCGAGCCGGCCTAGAAGCCGAGTGCGACGTCGTGTCTCCCAGCCAGCGCTCGAGAGGACACACGCGCCCCGCTGCACTCCGCCATACCCCGCTGCACTCAGCCGCCGCACTCCGCTGCATTTGCCTCCTCCGTCCTCACGCGGTGCTCTGAATGCACTGCGCAGTACCGCCCTCATGCCGGCGTCACTCACAGCGCAGGCGAGCTGCCCTGCTTCCTCTCGGCGACGCCCATCTCGGCGCGGCGCGCGCTGCGCGAGGAGCGCGAGGCGGCGGCGCTGCTCGCCGCGCAGCAGCGGCCCGCCATCTTCCCGCCGCCGCAGCGGCACGCGATGCACCATTTGGGCCGGATGGCGCCGTCGCCGTGGAACCCAATCGTCGGACCAGGCGCCGCACGCCCCGCCCTCCCGCCCGCCGCCGCCCGCACCCGCGGCCGGTTCGGAGGGTGTCTGTGGCGTGGCGCCTCTGCAACCCTTCCCCCTTTCCCCCCCCCCCCCCTCCCCCTTTCCCTCCCCTCTCCCGGAGGTGGCTCCTTGTGTCCTGCACAGCGCCCCGAGCCGCTCGCGCCCCGCCACGCCCCCAAGACGGGAGGCTCGCTCACGTGCTCCCGCCCCCATGTGGGTGTGCAGGCGGCTTTGTGCTGCACCGGCCCGCCGTCTGGCAGACCGCGGGCGAGATTGTGCCCCACCCGACGGGCCCGCTCGTCAACGGCATCTACTGCGCGCCCGCCTCCGCCGTGCTGCTCGGCCAGGTCAACGTCGCGTCCTGACGCGGCGCGGGGCCGGTAGGGTCCCAGTCTCGGCTTTTGAGAGACCGGGCGCAGCCGTACGATTGAGTATTTTACGCCGGTGTGTCGCCACTTGCGGAATACGAACCGATTACATGCTTGTTGTGGGATGCGGGCGCCAAGTAGAGCTTGCATTCCTGCAGAGCTGCGCCGGCGTTCCGCGTTGGGCGTTGTTGAGAGACGACGACGAGCACGCCCCCCGGCGGGTCACACACTCACAGCTCACACACACTCTCAGCACGACACAGCAGTCACACGTCACACGACACCTTCGACAGCGCGTCACACCTCCGCCTCACGCACCCAGTCACCCGGCCGAATGCGGCAACGGACGCACGCCGGCGCAACCGCCCCACGACAGGCAGCTCTCGCACTCATGTTACCCTTACTGGCCTTGCGCCCACACCTTGATCTTCCTGGGCAGCAGCTGGTTCGACAGGTCCTCTCCTTGGCCTAGGCAGCCGTCTTCGCCCTCGCCCCAAGCGAAGACAGCGCCATCGGCGGTGAGGGCGAGGCTGTGGTGCCGCCTTGCTGACACAGCGACGATGCGCTCGCCAGCAGCGATGCGCGGGCCAGCAAAGGTCTCCATCTTCTTGGGTAGCAGCTGAGGCTCCTCGTCGCCGTGGCCCAACTGGCCACTGGCTCCATAGCCCCAGCTCCAGAGGGCGCCGTCGGCGGTGAGGGCGAGGCTGTGGTTGCCTCCAGCCGAGACAGCGACGACGCGCTGGCCAGCAAAGGCCTCGACCTTCTTCGGCAGCAGCTGGTTCTGCTCGTCGCCGTGGCCCAACTGGCCACGGGCTCCATAGCCCCAGCTGCAGACGGCGCCGTCGGCGGTGAGGGCGAGGCTGTGGATAGGCCCTGCCGACACAGTGACGACGCGCTGGCCAGCCAACGCCTCGATCTTCTTGGGCAGCCACTGGGTCTGCTCGTCGCCGTGGCCCAACTGGCCGTCGCCTCCACCACCCCAGCTCCAGGCAACGCCGTCGGCGGTGATGGCGAGGCTGTGTTGGGCTCCAGCCGAGACAGCGACCACGCGCTGGCCTGCCAAGGCCTCGATGCTCTTCGGCAGTAGCTGCTTCTGCGTGTCGCCGTGGCCCAGCTTGCCGTAGAGTCCACTGCCCCAGCTCCAGGCGGCGCCGTCGGCGGTGAGGGCGACGTTGTGGCTAGAACCAGCCGACACGGCGACGATGCGCTGGCCAGCAAAGGCCTCGACCCTCTTCGGCAGCCACTGCTCCTGCTGATCGCCGTGGCCCAACTGGCCTTCGTCTCCATCGCCCCAGCTCCAGAGAGCGCCGTCGGAAGTGACGGCAAGGCTGTGCCCGGCTCCAGCCGACACGCTCACGGCGCGCTCGCCCCCCAGCGCCGACGGGAGGCGGGTCGGCGTGTTGAGCCGCGTCACGCCCTCGCCGTGACCGAGACAGCCTGAGGGGGGGGCCAACCACTCGCCCTCCTTTGCCGAACCGCACGACAAGAGCCGCCCCTCGCCGTCGATGAAGAGGCTGTGGGAGAAGCCTGCCGCCGCCCTCACCCGCGGGTTGGCCTCGCGCAGCAATGCAGCAAAACACAGCCACCGCACGGCACAGCTCTCGTCCTCTGGCAGCGCCGGCAGCTCGTAGCCGCGCTCTTGCGCCCGCAAGCGGATGCCCTCCAGCGCGAGCGAGGCGTGGAAGAGCAGCGAGACGGCCGCGACGCGAGCGATGTCGAGGGGGCTGTCGCAGATCGAGAGGGCGCGCAAGAGGAGGTCCGTGGGCAGGTCGAGTAGCATGACTCGCGCGGGTGGCGAGGCGCCGCCAGCGCCGGGCGACCCCTCCTCAGCAGCATCAGCAGCCTCGAGCGGCGAGGGAGCGGCGGCGGCGGCAGCGGCGCTCGGCGGCGGCAGCGGCGGCACGGACTCCGGTGGTTGTGGTACAGTCCTGGGGCGCCTGTACGTCTGTAACTCAGCCGCGAGGTCATCGAGGCGCGCGCGATAGTGCGGCTGGCGCGGGTCTGCTTGGTCGAGTGCGTGCTCTCCCACCAAAAACGGGATTGTCTCGTTAATTCCCTCAACGAGCCGCAGGCTCTGGGCGAAGCGCTCGCGGGCCCGGTCGAGGTCGGCGAGCCGTTCCTCTTTGGACTTGGTGGGGGGGGGGGCGGCGGCGGCGGCATCGGAGGCGGCGTCGGCGTCGGCGTCGGCGTCGGCGGCAGCGGCGGCGTCGGCGGCAGTGGCGGTGGCGGCGGTGGTGGCGGTGGGAGCAGCGGCGGTGGCGGCGGCGGTGGCGGCGGCGGCGGCGACATCGGCGACTTGCGACCGCTTGTCGGCGTCGTCGACGTGGGCAAGGAATTGCGTCATTGCGTGCTCGTCGATCGTCACCCCGGACTGGAGGGCGGAGGCTGCGGGCTCGAGCGGCGAGGAAAAGGCGGCGGCGGCGGCGGCGGCGGCGCGGGCCCCCTCTCCGTCGTCTTCCGATGCGCGCAGCGTGCCGTCGACGAGAGACGCGCAGACGGCGACGCTCTCCGCCTCGAGCGCGACCGCACCCGGCGGCTGCCCCGTCCGCAGCAGCACCCGCTCGACGCTGTCGCTGTCGGCGGCGTTCTGCGGGAGCGCGAGGGTGAGGGTGGCGCCTCGCGGCGCGCCCTGTGGAAGGACGACGCTCGAGCACGCGCCCGACGCGGTCTCAACATCTATGCAATCTCCGGCCTGCGCGCCGAGCGGCAGCGAGACTCGCAACATTGTCACGCCGACTCGCGCGAGCACGCAACGCGCTGTGTGTGCGGAGCAAGTTTTTCTTTTTTGAGCTGGACTTCGATGTTAGAAAGAAACGCTGGCGGACATGGCATATCGCTCTCGGGCCCACAGACATCCCGCACACCCGCCGCCCCCCCGCGCGCGCCCCACCCCGGCCGGGAGAAAGGGGAGTGACAGTTTGGGACGGCGACAGACGAGATACCTCGCACTCCATGTGCGAGAACGCAGAGAGAAATGAAAGCCGTCCGGCTCACAAGTCCGGCTCACGCGCCCCGAGCTAACCAACCTTCGCAAGCACACGACCAACCTGTCGCGACGGCGTGTCAAGCAGTACTCCTCGTTCTATCGCTGCGTCCACGACGAATGCCAGCACACGGTTGCATCACAGGCTCTCGTCGACGAAGCAACGTCAACGCGACACTTGCTGTTGGAAAGATGCAAACGTCGCGTTGCGAGTGTTCAACGTCCACCGCTGACGAAGCTTCCCTCTGCCACTTGCGGTGGTTGGCCGGCAGCCGTTGAGGTCTGGCTGTTATGAGGTCTGGCTGACCGCGAGAGAGAGACCGTGTGTGTTTTGTGTGTGTGTGTGTGTGTGTGTGTGTGTGTGTGTGTGTGTGTGTGTGTGTGTGTGTGTGTGTGTGTGTGTGTGTGTGTGTGTGAGTGAGGGAGAGAGGGAGAGAGGGAGCCGAGGGAGAGAGGGAGAGAGGGAGAGAGAGGGAGAGAGGGGGAGAGACCGTGAGAGAGAGGCCGGACCGCCGTGCACAGAGAGAGAGAGAGAGAGAGAGAGAGAGAGAGAGAGAGAGAGAGAGAGAGAGAGAGAGAGAGAGAGAGAGAGAGAGAGAGAGAGAGAGAGAGAGAGAGAGAGAGAGAGAGAGAGAGAGAGAGAGAGAGAGAGAGAGAGAGAGACGGAGTAATGGATGGCCCTGTAACAGGCTGCGTTTTTCTTCTCGAGTCGTTCGTGAAATTCTTTTGAGTCCGAGCCAGAAAGAATTTAACAAAATCAACTCTCTCTCACAGCAGACAGGCTCGACACAGGTGCGGACTGGCGCGTGCTAGCACTATCACAGACAAACCACCGGAGCCGCCTAAGCGACTCCGGTAAGCACGGCAATGCACTTTAGCTCTTTGCACAATGCCGCTCTCCCCGCACGCTAGCTCGTTCACCGTCTGCCACGCCACAGCGGTGTGGAGAACGACAGACAGTCGCTGCATCTGCAGTCTGTGCCAGTTCTTGTGCGAGCGGACGGCACGCCAGAAGAGAAAGAAAACAGACAACACGCGGGGAGGGATGGGAGGACGGCACGCCGCCACCACACAGGGATTTTAAGGAGGCGTTTAGTGTGGTGCTAGCCGTCGCCCACGCACCCTTGGGCGTCTGCCTCTTCCTATCTCTCTTCGCAGTCCCTCGCCGATTCTCGCTGCAACCTTCATGCCACCTCGCGGTCGTCCCACTCTCGTCGTTCTCTCTCCCTGTCGTGTGTGGAGAAGTTTACCTTACCTTACCTTACCTTACCTCTCTCCCTGTCGCTTCATCCTCTGTCTCGTCGCTCTCCTCTGCCTCGTTCTGTCTTCTGAGACGCCGCCGCCGCCCGCCGATCCCTCTTGCTCTCGCGCTTCTCCCGCCTCTCGGCGCAACTCCGCCCTCCTCGCGGCGTATTTTGGCCCCTCGAGTTTATCGAGCTCTCCTCGCGCAAGGACGACTCTTCTGACTGACACCCACTCCGATCATTTGTCGCCAAGTCATATCGTTGCTCAGGTCCACTCTCGTTTCGGACACTTGTACCTCCACAGATGGTGTTGGCTCTGGGGTCCCCTTCGGGTGCATCGTGACAGCTGAAAGAAAGAAAGAAAGAAAAAGGGATGCCAAGGGAGGGATGGCTGAAAAAAGAAAGAAAACGGACAACCCGAGGGAGGGATGGGAGCACCGCTGGCCGCCAACACACAGCGAATTTCGTTTTTCTTCTCTCGAGCGCCACCAGCTCGCGCCAACACCCGCCCAAAATGCAGCCACGAGCTTTGGCGACAGGAGCGCTGGCCGCTGCGCTGCTGTGCCTGTGCATACCCACCTCCCTGGCTGCGCCCCAGGCCGGCCCGGCGATCGACGCGTCGCACGCGATGATGGAGCCGCCGCCCGCCAAGCAGCCGCGGCCGTATGTGCGGCCTCCTGCGGGCAGCCGGCTCGCCGCCGGCTCGGGCGTGTACCGCAAGCTGCTCTCCGTCTCGACGCCGCGGTCGGCCGCCACGCTCGCCGCGGCGGCGGTCACCATCACCTGCCTCGTCTCGCGCTCGGCTGCGTCGCGGCTCGTGCTCCACATCATGTGCTTCATCGGCTCGCTGCTCGAGCCGTTCGACAGCGTGCTGCCAAAGCGCTCCGCGCTCCGCCCCTTTATCGAGCAGGCGCGCCGTCGCTCGACGCACCACCTCATCACCTCACCCAACCTCACCCAACCCTCTCCAATCCTCTCCCGCCCTCTCCCGCCCTCTCCTGCCCTCCCCCACCCTTCCCGCCCTCTCCAACCCTCTCCCGCCCTCCCCCACCCTCGCCGAGTAGGTCAAGTCGGCCAGGAGGGCCTACGCCGTCAAGTACGCCGCCGCCCCCTCTCCTTCTCACGCAACCCTCCTCCCCTCGCTGCTGCTGCCCCCTCTCCACACCGCCGCCTCGCAACCTGCCTCGCCCTGCCACGGCTGCCGTCCTCGCCTCGCCGCGGGCCTCACTACCGCCGCCGCTCCCCGACCGCGCAGGCACGGCCTGCCGCTCGACCTCGACGCGATGGAGGGCTTTGCAGACGAGTCGGTCGAGGCGGCCGCCGAGGCGGAGGAGGGGCGTGCCGAGGCGCCGGCTGAGGCAGAGGCGGCGGGCGAGGAGAAGGCGGAGGAGGAGGGGGCGGCTGCCGCGGCTCCGAGCGAGGGCGCGGAGCCGGTCGAGGTGTGAGGGTGCACGTCTAGCGAAGGAGCGAGCGGTTGGGCAACTGAAGGACTGTGTGTGGGGTCTGGGGTGTGCCTCCGTCGGGGGTGTGGCTGTGGAGGCCTATCTTCTTAAAAAAACTGTTCAGTTTTCAAAGGCAAAACACGACGCTCTGCGGTTGGTGCACCCCTCACACTGACACATTCCCCTCATCCCTTACCCTTGGCTGAGCACATCTACCTGCGAGCTAGTCTCTCCGCATTCTCTCCCCTAGTCATCCGCCCGCGCCGCGCGCCATCTAATGGGCGTCTAGTGCAGCCACTGACGGCACTATTCCAAAGGAGCGGTCGATGCCTCGCCTAGAGTTCGGGTGGACTTGCGCACTGCTTAGCCCTGAGGGGGGAGTGTGTGTGAGGTGGTGTAATGTTGTCCCGTTTCAGGCGGCAGGTCAGGGGATTAGCCGGGAGGATTCGGCAGCTCAGCCGGGGGCTGAGCGTCTGCAGGCAGCCTTCCGCTCGCGCCGAAATTCACAGCCCTCCCGGGCCGACGGGGTGCTCCTTGGATCGGGCCCCGCTCCCCGCTTTTCCTGTGCCTGGACTGTCCGGGTCAGGAGGGTGAGAGTATTGGGTGGGCGAGGGAAGTACATCTGGCGGGTGGCGATTGAGGGACAGCAAGAGGGCTGATTGGCGGGTCAATGGGCGCGCGGGCGGCGCTTCGTGGTCCTGGGCGAGCAGGGGCAGTGGTTAGGAGTCTTGGGCCTGGAGATATGAGGATTGTCGAGATGTCGTGCGAGAGCGGTAGGTGGGGGAAGGTAGCGCGGCTGGAGAGTGGTGTCCGAGGGACAGTGATGAGTTGTCAGTTGGGGCGCGAGACGCGCGGGACAGTGTTGGAGGCGGCCAGTGAGGTAGGGTTGGCTTTGAGCAGTGCAGCGAGTGTGTGGTCAAGCGTGGGAGCGGCGCGCGAGCACCGGATTTTTTTGCTGTGCGAGTCGAGTTGGGGACAATGATGAGTTGTCAGTTGGGGCGCGAGACGCGCGGGACAGTGTTGGAGGCGGCCAGTGAGGTAGGGTTGGCTTTGAGCAGTGCAGCGAGTGTGTGGTCAAGCGTGGGAGTGGCGCGCGAGCACCGGATGTTTTTGCTGTGCGAGTCGAGTTCGTGGCCGGTGCGCGGGAAACTCGCCGAAAACCCGCGCAGCCGGCCGATTGTACGACCGAGGTCGCTGATGTACGACCGAGGTCGCAGAGCCTTGGCGACGCGACGCGCACGTCGCCAAGGAGTTCGTAAAATGTCAGAGTTTTTTCTAGGGGCCTATCTTCTTCCCCGCTCTCCTGGGGGACTCCGCGCCTTACGTCGGCGGGGTTACTCCCCGGCCGCTGCCTGACGCTGAGACACTGAGAGAGCACTTTTCGTAATTATTGTTCATTCGACCATCAGCGAGACATTACAGGCCACCGACACCCTGAGCGCGAGAGCGTCCGGCGCCGCACCAGTGCCGCACTGGCTGGCGCGAGGGAGAACCGCGTGGGGCATGCCTCCAGCAAACAGCAGGAGCGTCGAGGGCTCGGGCGGCAGCGCCACATACTCAAACCGGTCCACCCCAGCCTCTGGCTGGGTGATGAGCAGCAGCTGGCCCGAGCAAGTCTTGCCGCCCAACTCCGCCTCCGACCCGGCACAGCCGCCGCTGTCCGCAAAGTAGACGGCGCTGTACAAGCTCTCGCCGTGGTCGTGCACCTGGTGGTGGGCGTGCGGCGGCGACGCGTTGAGCCAGCCGGAGATGGAGAGCGCGTCCAGCTCGACCGGCGTGTGGAGCAGCTGCAGCGCCTCGAGCAGCAGCTCGTGGATCGGCGTGTACCAGTGGGGGTCCGCCGGGTGCGCGCCCCAGAAGAGCTCCTAGAATGGCAACGGACGGCCTCCGGACGGCTCTCCGAGGCGGAGGGTGTGCCGTTTGGGCAGGGCATACCTCGCGGCATGTCTCGGGCATGTCTCGGGCATGTCTCGCGACATTAGGGGATATCGCAGGCATATATCTCGCGGCATGTCTCGGCAAATCTGCGCCTCGCCGCTGTGGAAGCCGCCGACATTCGAGCGCGTGACACCACCTATGGCCCGTGTTGCGGACGCGTCGCGGGGCGGGGGCCTCTCCTGGGACCAACCGCCCAGAGGTTCGGGAGCGGCACACATGCGCTGCTCCCCGTGTACGCCGACCGCGCCGCGGCGCGAAGCCGCGAGTTGATGGCCGCGCCGCGGCTCGCGCGGACGTCGAAGCGGCGCACGAGCCGCTCCACGGGCGCCCCCCCGGCCGCCTCCCCGGCCGCCCTCCCCGCCGCGCCAACCTCTGGCCTTGGGGGTCGAGGCGGGTGGTCGAGGAGCGTGATTGCGCTTGCACCGGTGAAGGACGAGCCGGCGGGCAGGGGGACGGGCGACGGCGGCGGGCAGCGCGCCGCACAAACGTCGCGCCGCTCGCCGCGGCGGCGTGCGGCCGCCGGCCGTCCCAGACGCTGACGGCAGGGTCGTCAAGGCTCCGCCGCAGCAGCTGCGTGGCCGCGGCGGCGGCGTCCAGCGGCGGAGGCGACGGCGGCGACGGCGGCGACGGCGGAGACGGCGACGACGACGGCGACGACGACGGCGACGGCGGCGAGGCCGGGGGCGACAATGGAGGCGGCGGCGGCGGCGGCGGCGGCGGGAGCGGCGGCGGCAGAGGCAGCGGCGGCGGCAGAGGCAGCGGCAGCGGCAGCACGGTCGGCACGGCGGCCCCCGGTGGCATGAAGCGGCGGTAGCACTGGCCCACCTCGCTCGCGCTAAGGGGGCGCGCCTCACCGGGCGAGAGGCCGCCTGCGGGAAGGCTCCGGGAAGGTTCATCGAAAGTGCACGCTGTTTTGCGCCTCACCGGGCGAGAGGCCGCCGAGCGTGATAGGGCCGATGCACTCGCGCCGCAGCGTCTTGACCACCAAGCCGGAGCGCGCGCACAACCTGCGAACCTGCGGCGCAAAAGGGGAGGGGCTTCGGGGGAGGGCGGCGGAGGAGGGGGAGGGCGGCGGCAGTGTCACAAGCAGTGGAAAGTGCGAGGCGCACAATGCCCACCCCGCGCGGCGCACAAGGGAGCGGGGGGGGGGGGGGGGCCAAGGGCCCCAAAGGCAAGGCGAGGGGGCGGGCCGGGCGCGCCTGCCGGTTCCTCCCTTCGCTGATCTCCACACTCAGCCACGCCGGCCCCTCCTCGCGCTGTGCCCGCGCCTCCGCGGCGGCGGCAAGCCTCTCGGCACGGCGGGGCGTCGCCACGGCGTCGGCGGACACTGCGGGCGCGTCCGAAGCGGCGGCAATGGCGCCCGCAACGTCAGCATCGTCGTGAGCGGCGGCGGCGGCGGCAACGGCGGCGGCGGCGGCGGCGGCGGCGGCGGCGGCGGCGGCGGCGGCGGTGGCGGCGGCGTCGGCGGCGTCGGCGGTGTCAGCGGCGACCTCGGTGGCCGCGGCAGACGTTCCAGCGGTAGCGTCTGCACGGCAGCCGGATGCAGCGCCCGCGTCGGGCGCGCCCTGACGGTGCCTGGCCGGCGGCGTGCAGCTAGGTGGCGGCGCGGGGAGGCGCTCCACCGCCGCTGGCCGCGTCCACTGCCCGAGCGCCTAATGGTGGTGTACGTGTGTGGTGGGTGGTGGCAACGGCGGTGATGGTGGTGGTGACGGTGGTGAGTGGTGGTGGTGTGTGTTTGTGTGGTGGTGTGTGTGCGTGCGCTGCGTGTGCGTGCGTGTGTCCTTGTTTGCTTTTGCGCCTCGTAGTGCAGCGGTGCGCGCATCAGCGCGAGTTGCTGCGCCGCCGTCCCGCACGCCACGATTCGCGAGCCGCCACCGCCCACGCCGCCACCGCCCGCGTCACCACCGCCCACGCCGCCGCTACCGCGCTCACGCTTCTTGTGCGGCGTCGCCGCTTCGGGATATCCAGCGGACACGGGCGGCAGAGGCCCGACTGCGCCTGCCGGTGGTGGCGGCGGCTGCAGAGCCTCTGCCTTGCAGCCTGTCCCGCCGACTCGTGGCTTGAGCAGCCCGGTCACCTCGACGAGGTAGCGCTTCGTCGCGTGGGGCATGCCACCCCCATCGCCGTGGATGAGTGCGTTCGCGAGCGCGCCGTCGTCCGTGAAGAGCAGCAGACCCTCTGTGTCGCGGTCGAGCCGGCCGACGTGCGGGACAGCAGGAAAGCCACGGTGCAGACAGTCGTAGACGGTGAGGCGCGACGCGCAAGCCGCACCCGCCAGGCCATTGGAGCGCTGCGAGTGGCAACCTGACGGCTTGTTGAGCACAAAGTAGAAACGACCTCCAGCGCCCTCGCCAGCGGCTCCGTCCCGCAGCGCCGTCGCAGCCTGCCGCACATCCCGCGGGCGGACGCCGGCTGCTCGCGCGATCGTCTCGGTCGTCTCGCTGTCAGGGTACGGGAGGAGGGCTCGCCTCAGCTCCTCGGCGCCGAGGCGGTCGGTGAGGGTCTGCAGGACGTGAGCGGGGAGCCGCATACACAAACACGCATATAGGTATCTTGGAGGCAGCCGGGCGGAGGCGGCTGAGCGGCCGTTTGGCTGTTTTTTTTTTGCTTAAAGTTGGCTCGACGCTCCAGACACTTTGGCCAAGTCTTCGCGAAGGCCGACGTCGCCGAGCACCAAAGCCAAGTTCCATGTGTGGCTCCACGCTCCAGACAGGTGGCAGCTTAGTAACGACACCATCGCCTTGCTATCGCGTGACAGCCGCCGACCGACGCCTCGGCGCCGGCCGACGCCGTGTTCAGGTTCACGGCTGGCGAGACGATGCAGACCTCTCGCCCGACCTCCGCGTCGGGCGAGGACGACGACGAGGACACCGGCTCCGAGGAGTATTCCGACGACAACGGTTACTCGATCGCTACGCGGTGTTCAACCGCAGTGAAACCACCCCCTTCCCAACCGTCTCAGGGACGGACGCATTTGCCCCCTTTCAAAGGCGGTTTCGAAGTTGATGAGACCTCGTCCCCCCCTAAACAATAAAGGGCGTAAAAAGAGTTTTACGTGCGTAAAAAGAGGCGCGGAACAGAGCACAATGTTGAAAGTGTTTTCAATCGGCAGTCGGCAGGGTTTTGGCTGAACCGGGACAGGCCAAAGTATAACGAGGTTGTCGACACGCGCCTTGGCCGAGCGAGCCGCTTGCCCGCACAACTACGTCTAGCAGGTAGGCTGTGCCGACGCGGTCGCATCTGGTCGCGCCATACTCAGTCACAACCGAGACAGCGTTGCATATGCCTTATCATATGGCAGATCTCCCTCGTCTTCGTCGCCGTTGACTTTTTCAGTGTATGTAGCTCTTACCTACATTCCCGGAGGAGGACTGCTGACGGGGTTTGCGATGAGGAGCGATCCGAACGTGGTATTCGGGTGATCAGATCACTACCGCCGAAACGCAAGAGCACTGCGACGCATCGGGCTCATGCTAGCATCCACCTCGCGAGCCGACCGTCTGGCTCAGCGAGGCTGCTGCGGAGCACTCGCGGGCCGATTTCTGGCCCAGCGAGGCCGCTGCGGGACACACCGGCGGCTCGGTTCGCTCCTCAACGCAAACCCGGTCGAGCAGAAATTCAGGTGTGTGTGTAAAGGCGGCGCGGCACGGTAGGATGGCAGGCTGGACATCGGTCGGCGGGCCGAACGGCTGAGCGGGGGCCGGCGGCTGGAGAGAGATATAAGGATCCGGGTGAGCGCCGACCAAGGCAGGGTCTTCCTGCGCCCGCTCGCCGAACGATTGCCACGGCGCCTGGTGTTGCACGTTCACTTCAGAGTCGACGGAGCTCAGGTTGCGCCTCCACTCGCCTCCCCGATGCGATAAGGGACCCCGTTGTCCGTTTGACATCAGACTTTTTTTGAGTTGGAGGTAATAATTAAAAGGATTGCACTGTCCCAAAGAACTGATTCATTCATTTCACCCTCACATAGTAACAATACCTCAAAGTTGAAAACCTCCAAAATAGGCCGTCAGGACTCTGTCAGGACTCCGTCAGGACTCTGTCAGGACTCTGTCAGGACTCCGCCAGGACTCCGCCAGGACAACCACTGCCCCCCCGCTGTGAACAGAGCCCTTAGCTAGAGAGTAGGGAGGGGTGTACAGTCGAGTTACTCCCGAGGGCAGGGACGGCCCTCCACTGAGGGAAAGGGCGCAACGGGGACGGTATGCTCACAACCCAGCCACGCAGCTCTTTGCTCGCGTACAGCCAACGAGTTTGCTGGTCCACAGGCAGGCCAGGCCGTGAGCGTGGGCCGGTCGGGCCTGATCCTGCGGTGAGCACTGGAGGGCTATGCGGCTCGCTCCGTCAGCCGACTTGCGCCGTCGAGCGGTCGAGCGCTTCGGGTTGGACCCGCGGGAGGGTCCCTGCGCGGCTGACATGGCCAGCCAAGCCGTGTGCGCTGCCGTGGGCGCTGTCGTGGGTGCTGCCGTGGGTGCTGCCGTGGGCGCTGCTGTGGGCGCTGCCGTGGGCGCTGCCTCGGTCAGCAGTCGGTCAGCAGTCGGTCAGCAGTCGGTCCGCTGCTCGGCGCTGGCCTGCAGGCCGCCGGTGGCAAATCGGGGGGGCGCGGGCCATGGACGTCGTGGCCGAGCTTTGCTGCCTTCTTGCACGTTGCCGGCTGTAACGTTGCCTGCACCATGGCCGCGCCTCTCTTGCTTGTGCGCTTTCATGGTCGAGCCGAGTGGCGCGAGAGTGAGCGTGATTTCTTTTGTCTGTCAGGACTCTAAGTTTCTGTCAGGACTCTCAAGTTTCTGTCAGGACTCTCAAGTTTGCTTGTCAGGACTCTCAAGTTTGCGTCAGGACTGCCCCATCAGGACGATTCCGCAGAGGGCGCGCACGGTCGAAAGGGGGGCTGGGCGTCTATCATTCACTGCTGGGGGGGAGGGGAAGGAGGGTTGCAGTGAAGGAAGGTGGAGGTCTCGTCGGAGGCACTTGTGAGCACTGTGAAGACCGTGCGCCGTCAGGACCCCGCCAGGACTCTGTCAGGACTCTGTCAGGACTCTGTCAGGACTCTGTCAGGACTCTGTCAGGACTGTCAGGACAGGTGCGGGAGGTCCACAAACCAGGTTGGTCCCAAGCCGCACCTCTTCACCCAAGTCTACTCTCGTCAAATGCAGCAGCACTGTATCCGTCACCTCCCTTCTCCTCCATAGATTGTCTCCAGCCCACCTCACCATGCTCTTCACGGGCACCCCCCCCCACTCATTACATCGGTTGCAGTCCGCCCCCACCGCCTCCTCCTTTGAGATGACGTCAAACACCCTCCTCCCTCCTTCATAGTCCTGTATCGTACTTGCCGCCGAAACTACATGCCTCCTCTCATCGTCCCTGCTTCCCAGTAGCGCAGTCTGCACCTTCGGCGCCTCCTCCCTTCGTCTAGATACCCGATCGACATCCTCAACGCATCTCCCCACATTCCATTCCACCGGTTGTAGCCCTGAACGCAACCCTGGTATCCACACTTCTGTGAACCATTTGAAGAAGGCTCCTACCACCTGTTCCTTCTCTTCCGCATCAGCATCATCAATTGGCTTTCGCAGACGTTGAAAGATGTCTTCCCCAAATCGCTTACGAGCCTCAATGTCCATCCGATCAGGTAGAAGACACGACTCCTCCGCTCTCATCATGGCTCTCCTGACTCGCAAAAGTTCAACCTCCCAGGCCATCTGGATCCCCTCCTCGTCGTACCCGTCTAGCTCCATCCCCTTGAACGCCTCGCTCTCTACCTCGCTCCGCTCCAACCACCGTCCCTCCTCTGGCTGATAGAACATGTCCCTCTCTGTTCTCACCAAGTATCTCATGGTCCTCGCATGGTCCTCCACCCCATCAGGTGACTCCAGCCTGCATGCTCGCACGTCAAACACTCTCCTCCCTGCCTTTCCTCCCATTGCCTTGCTCCTCCGCAACTCCTCCGCCTCCTCTCTCCCCTCCTTCCCCCACCTCGTCCACGTAGTGCTGATGTCGACGCAACGAGAGGCTTCCATCACTAGTCTATCCCACTCCTCATGATCAGCTCTTGTGAAGTCCACCTCACCACATCCGAAGCAGACCTCTGCCTCTCCACTCGTTAAGAGTTGCAGATGCCCACAACTCCATCCTCCATACATGTCCTTCGCAAACCGCACTCCCAATGATCGCAGCCTCTGACTATCAGTAATATCGTTCCTTCCCCAAAGAGACGGACCCACATCTCCAACTTCGCTCATTCCCACCGTCACGGCCTCCCCCAAGGCTCCCTCTGCGCGCCCTTCTGAGCGCTTGAACCGTAGACCCAGTAGTTGCATCGTCTCCAATGCCTGTAGGGGCGCGCTTTTCTCTGCCAGTCGTCCATCAATTTTATGTCTAGGCATGAACTCCATCGCGCTCCCGACATCGCACCCTTGCAGCCAAGCCATGATCGCCCAGGCAGACTGAAGTCCAAGGCACTGTGGTGTAGTTGCCGGTAGACACCATGTCCTGTAGACCTCGTCCAAGAGAGCTCCCCTCCCAAACTGCTCATCAAAAGGAAATCCAGCTCCTCCCCAGTCCACTGGAGCATGTACCACACACAGCAGGGTATTGTTCCGCATAATCCCACGCCCTTTTAGAATGCTTCTGTTTGCAACGTCCACTGCCTTCGACCCTTGCCGACCTATCGTCCCTCCCCTCTGATAATACCCCCGATTACCCGCTGATGCCATCGTTAGAATACCTCGCTGCTCCGCAACATCAGCTCCTCCGGCATTGGAAGCCACCCGAGTAAGCACACGAATATTGTGAATAGATTTGTCATCAGCCATCTTGTAGTTTATCGCGCCATGAAGTCCCCATTGTCTCCACACGTCGACCCATAGAGATGTCCCCACCGCAGTCGGATCTCCCCCACTCGTAGTCTTGTCGGCGCGCTTGCCTCGTGTAGGACCACATTCAGCTCTACCTCTCTCCTATCCTCCTCCCTTCTCCCGACATCCCCCCCATCACACTCTACTCTAATGAAGCATAGACCCTCATCCTCTCCTCTCTCCTCCCAATCTTCCGTGATGGCCGCGCATCGACATAGTATCCACCTGTCCTCTCGGCATAGCTCCTTGATAGACGCACCTATTTTGGAGGGATGAAGCCCCATCACCCTTCCCGTTGCCTTGGCTACCTCAAAGGCCTTACTCCAGTCCATCCTCGAGCCCCTCTTCCTATTGAAGAAATAAGTATCTGCGTTTCTACCCAGACGAGTGAAATTATTCTCGTCCACCATCCTATTGACAAACTGGTCATTGACATGTCCCCTCTCCCCCCCAAATCTGATCAGACGTCCATTGGCGTCACCACCGACACAGTGAGCATATTCGTTGAATTGGCTGACAGCTTCGTAGATTGCATCGTGAACCTTCCCTGCATTTGACCTGGCTTTAGACGTGTCCGGACAGTAGTAGGCGGTGTAGACCTTTAGCGAGTTGTCCACCGTACACCTCAGAAGTACCGACAGGACATGTCCCGCAGTTCCCACAACACTTTTCC